TGCCAGTACTTTGATTATATTTGTTTACACCAGGTAAAATATTTCTTCTCTTAAGTCAGAACTTAAAGTAAGCAGACTACTACAAAGTATTAACAGACGTGCAATAGGAATATTCAATGAGGACTATATTCGTCTGGGCATTCTTGGGGCAGCACTGACAGTTATGCTCATTCCCTTGCCTGAGGCTTGGCTTCCATCAGATGTAACAATTCAGTTTCTGGGAAGACAGTGACAGATGTCAATTTCAGGGAAGAGATTATACATATACAGACCAGTATCTCTTCCAGTGTTCTGGGAGGTGACTTCAGTCACTGTTTCTTTTAATTAGAGGTGAGACAGGCAATGACCTGAGTTCCTTACTTGTTATTTCTTGCCTCCAAACATCATCCACCTGGTAAGTGAGCCACTCCCACCTCAAAAACTAATATCAGCTATCCAGGCTCAAAATTTTGGTTGGGGTAGTGGGAAAATGAAGAATAAAAAAGAAAACAAAATAGTCCAAACAACTAAAGGACCACATGAGACAGAACTAGATGGTGCCCGGCTACCACCAATGACTGCCCTGACAGGGAACACAACAGAGAGTCCGGGACAGAGTACGAGAAAAATGTAGAACAAAACTCAAATTCACATAAAAAGACCATTTAATGGTCTGACAGAGACTAGAGGAATCCCTTAAACTATGGCCCCCGGAAGCAGTGTTAACCCGGAACTGAAACCATTCTTTAAGCCCACTCTTCAGACAAAGATTAGACAAGACTATAAAACAAACGTGAGGAATGTGCTTCTTAGTTCAATCAGATTTATGAGACCAAATGGGCAGCTCCTGTCCAAAAGCAGGATGAAAAGGCAGGAAGGGACAGGAAGTGGTCGAAAGGACGCGGGGAACCGGAGAAGGGGTGCTGTCACATTGTGGGGACTGCAACTAATGTCACAAAACAATATGTGTATAAATTTTTGTATGAGAAATTAACTTGAGCTGCAAACTTTCACCTAAAGCACAATTAAAAAAACAAAACAAAACAACTAAACAGTTCCAAGACGCTTGCTTATGCAGGTATTACTTATCTGGCAACATCACCTACCTGAACACAGCTAAGTACCTTGAAGTAAAACCAAAAAAACCCATTGCCATTGAGTCGATTCTGCCTCATAGTGACCCTATCAAAACATCAGAGCAAGGGTAGGGAGTGAAGAGAGCTAACCTTTCCTGAGAGCGCCTGCTTTGGGCTAGGTGCTGTGCTAGGCTCTTTATACACATAAGCTCATTCATTCTGGACAGGAATCCTAAGAAGTGTTAATATTCTTTCCATTTTACATATAAATGAGGAAGCCAAAGCCTGGAGAGGTTAAGTAAATGTGCCCAAAGTCATTTGGTCATTCTGTGGAGGCATCAGCATTTGAACCTAAGTTTCTCCGAGTCCAGAGCCCATATTCTTCTTTCGCCTAAAACCAGAATTGCCTTCCTGTAACCAAATCCACCTGTGCAAGAATTTATGTATTTGACACGCAGAAGAAACCTCACAGACCCACACTCAGAGACTATTTATATGCAATTCAAATTGGCCTAATGATCTGGCACTCTGTCTTAAGAAACTCCAGGGGAAGAGGGTGGGGAAGGGAGAATGGGGATAAGAGGATGGATAGGCATGTTGAGAGCACCAAGAAATGACAACTGTGTCTCCAGTCTCACTTATATGGCTTAATATCCTTTTGCAGAACTCATTGTATTATATATACAGCATGACTGATGGTCATGATTTTAGGAGCCTCAGTGTAAGCAGGCAGGGAAGTATGTAACACTTACTGGGTATGACTTCCATCAAGAATGTTGTTGTTGTTAGGTGCCATCCAGTTGATTCTGACTCATAGCACCCCTATAGCACAGAGCAGAACTGTCCCATAGGGTTTCCAAGGAGCGGCTGGTAGATTTGCACTGCTGACCTTTTGGTTAGCAGTCAAGATCTTAACCACTACACCACTTGGGCTCCTCCATCAAGAATAATTAACCCCAAATAAGTCTTGGTGCTTGAATGGGCTTAAATTCTAATAAAAAAGTTAACTTGTATATCACCCCATTCCTCCATGATGCTGGGTAAAGGAAGCATTGGCATATTGTTAGATTTTCTTAACATTGCTATTTGATCTTTCTAACCTCCAGGAGATACGTACTTATCCTTAGAGCCAAGTTTCTATATTACTATTTAAAAATGGATAATGTATAGAAAACCCAAACCCATTGCCATTGAGTCGATTCCGACTCATAGCAACCCTAAAGGACAGAGTAGAACTGCTCCATAGGGTTTCCAAGGCTGGAATCTTTACAGACTCATTGCTGTGAGTTGGAATTGACTCGATGGCAACGGTTTTTTAAATCTTTATGGAAGCAGACTGCCACTCTTTCTCTGCAGAGCGGCTAGTGGGTTCTAACTTTTCAGTTAGCAGCCGAGCACTTAACTACTGCACCACCAAGGCTCAGGATCTGTTTAAAATGTATTTCTTGACTTGCCACATTAAAATAAGGGGGTGGAGGTGAGGCAGCATGGTTGTGGTGCGTGGGGAACTTTGGAGTCTGACAACCCTGGGAATAGATCCTGGCTCCTCAATTTTACTGCTGTTTCTCCAACTATAATGGTGGGACAATGATACCCACCATTGCCTTTTGGAGAAGAGATTTATCTTACCTCTTTTTCTGCTTTCCTTATGAAAGCCGAGTCAGTATTAAGGTCAAAGAAAAGAATTGATAGGCTTCTAAAACACACTGTGTGGGGTATGTTTTCTAGGAGTGGAGGAGAGTGTAGTGTCCCTTTCTATTCCTTCCATAGGGATTGTGAGCTAGATTTCAGGGCAGGCCCAGGGTCACCTTTCTTTTTCCCTCTTCTCCTTGGATGCTCTTTCTCCCTTGTAGTAACAGCCTGACACTGTTGTCCTAATCTGCCTGCTATGGTGGTTTAAGCCACCTGGGTACCAGGCAATGGGACAAACTCAGACTCTGGTTGGCCATCTCTTGCTTCTTCCTTTTTCTTTGTTGCAAGTGAGTGCCCTTAAATACCTTCCCCTTATGCTGTACTAATTAGGCTCTTACATTTGGCTGTGGGTTAGGATACACTCACAGGTGGCTAAGCTTAGGTAAAGGAGTTCCCCACAGGGTCCAGACTCATTTACTGACATTTTCCAAAGACCTTTGAACTTAGAATTCCTGTTAATAATGAATGTTAGTTTGCCTTCTTTTGATCATACATTTTTTTTGGGAACTTTTTGGACAACAGGCATGGCTGAGGGCAGGATGTAGCTCACCACTATCATAGTACCATACTAATAAGAGCCCAGCACACATGACTAGCAACACCTACTTTCCACATTATTTAGAGGATTAAATGATACAAAGCATAGAAAAATACAGCTAGCAGCTGGTGCTGAATAAATTCTCATTTCCCTTCTCTCATATCATTTCCCTTATTAACTGCAAAGTTAATACGAAAAACAGAGAAAGAAAGAAATCCAATGCAAATTTGAACATGGTTTTTGATTTTCCTGCCATCCCTACAGAAGAGGGATTCAAATACTCCAGGAACTACACACAGCTAATAAAGCATATTAGAGCACAACTTTCCTTCCAGAAGAAGTATGATTCCAGAAGAAGTAAGTAGCATTGTGCTAAATGTAATTTGTGCACAGCACTCCTGGATCCTCTGCTCAAAAAGCTTCTTTCTCCTTCGCGTATTACGAACTACACCTTTTCTTTATTAATCACTTTTTGCTAGAAACCACAAAGAAAAAACACACCATGAATGCTCTTCAACAGGTTTTCCCTTAACTCTTTTCAAATATAAAGCTTGTGAATTCTCAATCTTTTCAATAGTCATTACTTTTGATGCTGTTGTCACCATTATGATTTCTCCATATGGTAAATTACCGATGACTATTTATTGGGCATCTACTGAGTTCAAAGTTCTGTGCTAGGGGCTTAACATGTAACAACTCTGTAAGGTGGGTAACATTCCTCTTACTTTATGATGAGAAAACCAAGGTTAAGACAGATGTAGGAACCTGCATAAAGTCACAGAGCTTGAGAACCCAAATTCTGAATATTGCTTTGGAAAATATTGGCACATCTGAAAGGACAGCAAGCAGCGTTTCCTTTTCCTCCTAAAATGCATACCAAGTAAAATTTGCTAAAAAGGATATAAGGGAGTCTCTTAGTTCTTAGGAGTCTGTTGGGATTCCCCTTTGTACTCTCTGACATGAAAGAAGTTGTCCAGAACACAGTAGAAGTATATCAGACTGCTTTGTCCCAGGTAAAACTAACCAGTCCAACAGCTAGAAAATGTATTCTGTTGAGGCTCTCAAAGGAAGTTATCTGTTAATGATAGTCTAGAACAGTAGAAAGGATCTTGGAGTCAGAAGACTTGGATTCTAGTTCTAGTTTGGTAATTTAATGGTTGTTAATTTTTTTGGCAAGTATTCAAGGCTCTCATTTTCTTCATTTATAAAATGGGGAAAGTAATAAAGTACACATATCTCAATGGGTTGTTCTGAGACACCACTGAGTTAAGGATTGTTCATATACTGTTCCATTTATCTCTTTAGTTATTTACTGCCTATCTTTCCTCACTATTATATAAATTCCATGACATCAGGGAACTAGCCTGTATATTTCATCATTGCATCTTCAAGGCAGTCAGTATTTAAGTTTAAATAATAAACCTATTATAGAAATGAAAGCTAAGTTTAGCAAATTGTTTGGCTGTTTGTGTTTAGTGCACAAAACTTTTAATTTTTTTATGTTTCCCTTGAAATTATTACTAGATATTTTCCCCAAATAATATCTGATATTAGCATTTAAATCACATGAAACGAAATTGGTGAGGCTTCATTTCTTGTTACTAATTTTTGTAACCCCTAAGAGGGCTTTTTGGTTTTGCTGATCATTCTGCAATTTCCAGGTTCTCTCTAGATGCGAAGAAAATTGCTTACTTGGTTGAGATGCTTGTACTTACTTGATGAAGTACTTGATTCCATCTGCTGTGTAAGCTTCCTCCCACCCGTAAGGTAGACCTAGAGTGAAAGGAAACCAAAAATACACTTAATAAGAAGATGAAGATAACTTCATTTCCTGGACACAAACCTTCTATATTTTCATAATTATTTTACTGCATTTCTTATACAAAATGATTTTCTACAAAGGGGAATTAAGACATTTCAGGACAAGCTTTCATACTCAGCATCTTTGGAATACAATAAATAAGTCTTGAACAGTTAACAATCTGCTGTAGATGCAATAACTGGATTATGACTTGTCATTTACATGTGGTGAGCACTTTTGTCAGCAGGATTCAAGCAAAAATTTTTGGTACAGTGGATGGTTTTTGCCTGGAGGCAGAAGGATGGACAAGATGGCCTCTGCTTGTCTAGTCTGGCTCAAAGTTTCTTTAATTGGCTCCCTTTACATTATTTCACTCAGCTCCACAGGGAACTGATGCATGAGTGCCGGATCAGCAGGGGTTTGAAAGCAGCTTTTGGACAACACAAAATTCCTCATAAGTTTGAAAGTTTAGCAAAGTGATTTACAATGGATGGTGGTATTTTACTTTGTTAATTAAAAATTTTGTGCACTAAACACAAACAGCCAAACAATTTGCTAAACTTAGCTTTCATTTCTATAATAGGACTGAGTACAGTTAGCTATAAAAAGATGCGGAATGAAGTTAGCAAGCAATTATTTGGCCGTATTTCTGTAAATGAGTACCTGTTTGTTCTCATCATACCAAGAGAATAGCCTCATGTTGAGGCAGCCACATTCCCTTATATTCCAATTCTGGGTGATACTCCTCTAGAACACAATAGTTTCTACACCTCTACTCCATCCCTCTATCTCTTAAGAGCTGGAGATAGAAAACCAAAAGGGAAGAAAACGCTCGGCATTTCTCAAGCTGAAAGAACTGAAGAAAAAATTCAAGCCTCGAGTTGCAATAGTGAAGGATTCTATGGGGAAAATATTAAATGACGCAGGAAGCATAAAAAGAAGACAGAAGGAATACACAAAGTCATTATACGAAAAAGAATTGGTTGACATTCAACCATTTCAAGAGGTAGCGTATGATCAGGAACCGATGGTACTGAAGGAAGAAGCCCAAGCTGCACTGAAGGCCTTGGTGAAAAACAAGGCTCCAGGAATTGATGGAATATCAATTGAGATGTTTCAACAAACGGATGCAGCGCTGGAAGTGCTCACTTGTCTATACCAAGAAATTTGAAAACAGGTACCTGGCCAACTGACTGGAAGAGATCCATACTTATGCCTATTCCCAAGAAAGGTGATCCGACCGAATGTGGAAATTATCGAACAATAACATTAATATCACATGCAAGTAAAATTTTACTGAAAATCATTCAAAAATGGCTGCAGCAGTACATCCACAGGGAACTGCCAGAAATTCAGGCAGGATTCAGAAGAGGACGTGGGACCAGGGATATTATTGCTCATGTCAGATGGATCCTGGCTGAAAGCAGAGAATACCAGAAAGATGTTTACCTGTGTTCTATTGACTATGCAAAGACATTCGATTGTGTGGATCATAACAGATTATGGATAACATTGCGAAGAACAGGAATTCCAAAACACTTAATTGTGCTCATGAGGAACCTGTACATAGATCAAGAGGCAGCTGTTCAAACAGAACAAGGGGATACTGTGTGGTTTAAAGTCAGGAAAGGTATGTGTCAGGGTTGCATCCTTTCACCATACCTATTCAGTCTGTATGCGAGCAAATAATCCAAGAAGCTGGACTATATGAAGAAGAATAGGGTATCAGGATTGGAGGAACTTATTAACAACCAGCGATATGCAAATGACACAAACTTGCTTGCCAAAAGTGAAGAGGACTTGGAGCACTTACTGATGAAGATCAAAGACTACAGCTTTCAGTATGGATTAAACCTCAACATAAAGAAAACAAAAATCCTCACAACTGGACCAATAGGCAACATCATGATAAATGGAGAAGAGATTGAAGTTGTCAAGGATTCATTTTACTTGTATCCACAATCAACACCCATGGAAGCAGCAGTCAGGAAATCAAAAGACGCATTGCATTGGGCAAATCTGCTGCAAAAGACCTCTTTAAAGTGTTGAAAAGCAAAGATGTCACCTTGAAGACTAAGGTGTGTCTGACCCAAGCCATGGTATTTTCAATCTCATTATATGCACGTGAAAGCTGGACAATGAATAAGGAAGACCGAAGAAGATTTGATGACTTTGAATTGTGGTGTTGGTGAAGAATATTGAATATACCATGGACTGCCAAAAGAACGAACAAATCTGTCTTGGAAGAAGTACAACCAGAATGCTCCTTAGAAGCAAGGATAGCAAGACTATGTCTTACATACTTTGGATATGTTGTCAGGAGGGATCAGTCCCTGGGGAATGACATCATGCTGAGTAAAGTACAGGGTCAGTGAAAAAGAGGAAGACGCTCAACAAGATGGATTGACACAGTGGCTGCAACAATGAGATCAAGCATAACAACAATTATGAGCATGGCGCAGGACCAGGCAATGTTTCCCTCTGTAGTACAAAGGGTCACTATGAGTTGGAACTGACTCAATGGCACCTAACAACAACAACACTTCATCCCTAGGAGCCCTGATGATGCAGAGGTTAAGTACTCAGCTCTTAAAGGAAAGGTCAGTGGTTTGAACCCACCAGCCGCTACATGGGAAAAAGATGTGGCAGTCTGCTTCTGTAAAGATTACAGCCTTGGAAACCCTATAGGGGCAGTTCTACTCTGTCCTATAGGGTTGCTATGAATCGGAATCCGACTCGATGGCAATGGGTTTGGTTTTGGTTGATACTCCATCCCTGAGTACTGCTAAGGATCTTAACTGACCTTTTGGATCAGTGCTTTATTATTGGCTTATCATGGCCCCTTTGATGGGTAGAAGCTACATTAATACACTAAAGAAAAGACTCCTTGAAGCAGGCAGCAGCCACTTCTTTAGAAAGTAACTGAGCTATAAAAACAAACCATTGACTTCCATTCCCCCAAATCTCAGCAAGAGGCATAGCAAAAGTGCAGTAACAGTAACTGTTTAAACAAAATAAAATCTTATTCTCTCACCATTACCTTCCTAGAGAATATTCTTCAAGAAGCAGCTCTAAGGATGTTGTTTTCTTAATTAAGGGTAGGAGGGGAAGATTTATTTTATATTTATTTCTAGTCTTTTGACACAAGTTGTGTAAAATAATACCCAGGGCAAAAACTCCGTAACTATTTCCTTCCTATATTAACACTGGCTACCTAAGAGTTTCTTTTCTCTCATAGTGAATAAATGTTCCTATTTTAAGTAGAACATAAGCACTTCCATGAACTTGGCAGAAGCAAATGACTGGCTTCTTGAAAGCTCCTGAAATGACACTATATACGCATCTCCTCTGGTGTCTGCAGCCAGCTCATGCTCAGCCAGAGAGGACATGATAAACTGCTGGTGCAGCACGGGTTCAAATAGATTTGTTTTTTTTTCTTTAGACCTTCTATGTCTGTGTTACAGACCACTGCATTCATAACCAACAAGCCCCTCACCCGCAGGGAAGAATCTGATGACTGTACGTAAGAAGCTTGCTTTCTTGACAAAAATTCTCAGGAATACCAAGATTTCTGATCAATAAGACAAAGACAGGTAAAAGTTAAGTAGAAAGCTATTCTAATGTGACTGAAGTTTTTGTCTGATGAATGGCTTATTTGTCTGACCAGCACAATTATATCTATTTTTCTAATTTCTTATGCCACAGATTTTTTTAATGCAAAGGAGAAAAAAATGTACAATTTAAAGATAGTATCTGTTAATCCACAGGATCATTTGAAAATTGAGATTAAAACTGGGTACCACATCCCCTTGTATTGTCAAAATAGAATTCCTGCTCAGATTATTTTTCTTAAAATTATTAAACAGGGACTACAACTTCACGGCAGACTTATTAAAGGTACTAATTCATATATATTTAATTCAAAATGGCTATTCAATGACTGTAGTCATAAAGATATCCTTCTGTATTAAATAATGTGCAAAGCCTCCTTTAGGATAAATTCTGTTCTGAAATGATAAGTATTTCTTTCTAAGAAATTAAATAGTTTCTTGTTTTTCAGGCAGTTAATACAATCTGTGAGAAAACAGAGTTGGAGACTAAACTGATAGTAATTAGTCTCTCAATGATAGTTCAGTAATAGAAAAAACACAATCACTGTCTAATTATAAACTGAACACCAAAATATATTAATAAATCAAATAGCTTATTTTACACAAAAGAAGCACTTAGCTCCTTTTGATTTTCATAAACTTATATAAATTATGATGGCTTCAGTTTTCCATTAGTAAAGTTTTTCATTTCTTCACAATAAGTGATTTGTGCATAATTATAATACAATATATTATCTAAATACTTTTGAATAATCATTATTGTTCCAAGGCATTAAAATATATCTACATTTCCCATATCTTTATACTTGCAAATATATGATTCTATTTTTCCATTTCTTTTCATATTTCTCTTAAAACTGTTATGATAACTATAACCACCTGAAATGGTTTCTGATTGGAAGTGTTTGCTATGAACCCTCACATAACATTCTTTCCATCAGAGATCATCTGTTTCCAATCAACAACTTCATGGTGATGAGTCTAAATTCTGTACGGGGATCTTGCCAAAGTAAGAGTCTTGTACATATTCGACTTAGAATACTGGATGTCATCTAAAACTCAACACTTCTAAAACCAAACTATCACATTTCCATACAAAATAGTTTCTTTCCAGTTCCTCAGTCTATTCATGTACCAAGATTCTCTTTGTCATATTTGGTCCTTTTATTCATTCCTTACACACTTATTATGTGTTTAGCATTTTGTTTGGTGCCACTGGAGGAGAGTAACAGGAAACGTGTTAAAATCCAGGTTCTTGCACTGACACAAAGCAGAGTTTGGCTTCTACGGGAGAGAGGCAGGAAATACACTTGAGCTCCTCATGTTGCACTGAATAGAAGTTAGGGTTATTTGCCTCTGAC